CTCTATCACAATAGCAATTAAAACAGCTTGTTTCATTATAAGTATCACTTCCCTGTCAAATTAATGGTATATGTTTATTTGAATCTGAAGATAATTCCCCACAAATGCTAGAGGGCGCTATAGCTAAATAACACTTATGTAGCCCAAAACACACGAGTGGCTAATTGTATTGAAAGCATCCTGCTACAAGACATGGCTAAAATCTGAGGGTTTTATAAAATTCTGACCAGGGTCTAAGACATTGAGAAAAACAAAGAATTTGACGGTATGCGAGAAGCAAACAATTCCAGGAATAAAAAAAAAACATCTTTTATCACATAACAACAAATGATACGTAACCTTGAAGATTCAAACTTCCATCCAATCAGAGAATTCCAAACAAAGTTGATTCCCCCCACAAATGCAAGAGTACGCCAGAACTGAGATTTTGTACCCGTTTTTGAGAGGCACATTCGTTGTATTTTTACATTGAATCACACTACTTTTCAAGAACGTTGGGGGTGTTTTAGTTAGGCAAATCAGTGTTTGAAACTGTCTGAAAAAATCACCCAAGACCAGAAATGGCTGCGTCAACTGGCTTGTTTTGAGCAACATTTTCTTAATTTTGTTTTCGAGAAAAACAAAACATTTGTTAAGTTTTTTCTTCTAATGCACACGCCGAGTATGTTGGGGCGCTTGTCTGCATTCGTGAGCTTTGTTTATGGATCACTGGGAACATCTGTATTTTAAATAATTACATATACAATCCGATCAATTCCATAGTCAGAGCAATGTTTTAAAGCGGGAGGATCGTCACCTACGCACGTGCAGAAATTGAGTCCCAAGCGATGATAACAACACACGCTAAAAACGCAAAGACTCGTGAGTAGACGCTTGTTTGTAAACAATGACACGCTATGGCCATCTGACGCATGCGCAGGTGACGACTTCCCGCTTTAAATAAATAGTAGTCAAAACAACACAATATTTGTAAGAGTTGTGTTTGTACATTTATGTGATTGACTGGCTCGTCGTGTTATACACTATTACAACCCTTTTATTGTGTGTAGTTATTTCCCTTCAATTCTGTGAAATATTGTATTTTTCTGACGTAAACTACCATGCTTTAAACCGAGATCATTTTTAGTGGTATATCTCTA